CTCCTGCCCTGACTCTTCCCCAATCAGAAGATTAGGACCATCACTTAGAATGTAGAAACAAACAAGTGATTCACACCATGGATGATGTAATCTCAGGCAGGACATGGAGGACCACGCTGGAAGCTCTGATCCCAAAGACAATCCATGGGGGTGGGCTCTGCACCACATCAAACTGCTTGTTTTATTGGACACTCGAGAGAAAAGCGGCATCTGCCCCATCAGGTGAGTAAACGGACAGGGACACCAGCAGGCGCTTTCAGTAGCAGGTGGAAAGACAAGACCCATGAGCAATGAGACCTCTTGCCCATAACGGCGACACGATGAATGGTCTGAAGGCACGGAATAAGGACAGCCCTCTCTGCTTCAGCTGCCATGTGCAGAAGAGAGAACCGCCGGAAGAACCAAGGGAACACCAAGTGCAGTGGGGCATGAGGCGACTAGGTTGACAGCAGGTTCTGCCATCAAGGGCTATTCCCAAGGCCCAGAGAGACAGCAGGGTGAGGCCAAAGGGAGGACCTGGGTTCTAGTTTAATCTCAGATCCCAGGCCAGAATTCAAGAGACTCTTCTGAAGAGCTATACTTGCAGAATGGACTCAAGAAAGGAAGGGAGGCTGAGCCCCCATTTGGAAATTGACACCCAAAGTGAGGTATGGACAGCTTGGGAACCTGACAGGTGGTGGTGAGGTTGGGCCAAGAGGGAGAGGAGCCGGTTTCCCCATGCAGCCAAGGTGAGGCTGTGCCACAGTCACGTTGCTCACCTCCAAGCACACACCCCAACATTTTAAGTAATGAACGATTAGTTTAAGCTTGGTGTATATCCAAAACAATTAAGAGCAGGGACACCAACAGATATTTGTACACCCCTGTTGACAGCATTACTGCAACAGCCAAAAGGTGGAAACCACCACTGATGTCCACTGATGGAGGAATGGGTAAACAGAATGTGGTACATACATACATTTCAGTCAAAACAAAATATTAATGTAGGAAGGGCACTGTAGTCACTACAACTGTTAGCCAAGAACTGTCAATGACATAAAAAATCATGCCAACATTATGTTAGATCAAAAAAGCAAGATATAGATTATATGTGGTAGATTGTAGCTTTGTAAAGATAAAAATGTTCATATCTGCACATATGTACGTAGGCAGGAAAAAGAGTGGAAGGAAATACACAAATGTCAACAGTGTTTACATTCAGAAAGGTGGGCTTCTCTTCATCTTCATAATTTTTCACATTTTCCAAATTTTACACAATGAGCACATATTACTCTGATAATCAGTGGAGAGGCAGGGTACATATAAAACCAAACCACAAAAAATGCAAAGGAAAAATGAATATTTATTCACTCTATAGATTGGGGAGGTTTCCATGTTTAACAGGAAAAAACAGGAAAATATCACACAGGAAAAGATCAATTTGTTTGAATGCCCAATAAATCATACAAACAGAACAATTATTATGGTCACTAATAGACAAAGAAGTAGAGGTTAAAACAGGATACCACTTTCACTATTATTGTAGGGGTGGAGGGTTTTTTTTATACTTTTTTTTTTAGCTTTACTGTCCTAAGATAGCAAGAGAAAGAGAACAGCAAGAAGAGAAAAATGAAGATGTTTTTAACAACTTGGCACTGAGAGACTATCCTAAGGAAATAATCCAAAATACATAAAAAACATTTTATTCACAAAGTTGAACATTACTTCATATTTACAACGCTGAAAATTTGGAAATAACCTAAATTTATAACAACGGAAAGGCAAAGCAATTTATGATAAAACTATACAATAAAATATATTGCCACCAATAGCAAGTGTCTGAAAAAAATCTATAATAACCACACATAATATTCAATGAAAAAAGAACATAAATTATATGATAAAGAACATAATAGGATCACAACAATGTAAAAATTCATACCCCAAAAAAGACAAGATATTAAGTGACATCTCAGGGTAAACTATTAATGTATCTGTGCTACATTCCTGTTTTCCAATTTTTTTCATAATTAACATACCAAATTTATAATCAAAAAATTTTCATTTTTAAAGTAAGGTGAACACAAGATTCTTTAGCAATGTTTATTCCATCCCATGACAGTCTAGGGAGTCACAAAAACCTCAACTTCCTTGGGGGGGAGGGGGGGCGGGCCATGAAGAATGGTTATGAGTGAATGAGGGAAGAGAGGGTGGACAAGCTAGAAGTAAGTGGGAGGGAGGAATTAGCAAGGAAAGCTGGAGACCAGTACGCATACTGGTCAGCCAAGGAAAGGGGAATTGTGGAGTCAGGGAAGACTCTGACTGCTCAGTAAAGGTCTACTCTAGACCTGATAGTAGGCACTGTCGGTGTTTTCAAAGGGCGGGATTAAAGAAGGAGTTCAGGAAGACACATGGATTATTTTGGGGGACAGGGGAGGAAAAAGGTAGGGTAGGTAAGCTACTTGGAAAGAATGGGGAAGGATTAAAATGACAGCGACGGGAATGGGGAGGAAGGGGCCAACTGCCATAGTGAACCTCCCTATCAAACATACACACTTTGTTCACCTCCAGACAAGTCTCTAGAGATAACCTTGGGCAGTTCTTTCCAACTGAGCTTTCTGCCATGATGGACATGTTCTAGATTTGTGGCTAACAAGCACTTGAAGTGTCATATGATTGAGAATCTTTTAACATTGCTATTATTTTTAATAAACTTAAATTGCCACATATGCCTAGTGGCTACTGAATAAACACATAGACCTGGGTGGTGGATCTGAAAGCGTGGTCTTTGGACAAGAAGCATCTTGGGAGCTTGTAAGCAATGCCAATCTCAGGACCCACCCCAGACCCCTGAAATCAGGCCTATATAGGCAGGGCCCAGCCCGCTGGGTTTTCAACAAGCCCTTCAGGTGGTTCTGATGCTCCCTCATGTGTGTGAGCCACTGTACAAGGGCCATTCAAAATATCTGGGGTCACCAGGTCTGCCTTCAACTAAGCCATATAAAAGAACCCCTGCACAAGTGAAGTGGGGACTTCTACAAATAAGTGACTAAAGAGCCATTGATAAGATATGTTCAGTTCAGTGAGATTGTTCTATGAAGAAAACAAGATGTGGTTTCTCTAAGCCGATTCAAGGTAAGGAATTTGGTTAGCTTGGATACCTGAAAAGCAGAAAGTGGCCACTCACCCCAGTATGTGTTGGAGATGTGCAAAAGGAAACAAAAAGTGGGTCTAAAAAAGCAATACATACTCACACGATGATTTAGAAAAACATGCCACTGAACGTGAAATGTAGCCTTTACTTTTAAAAGGAGGAATGTGTAAAAGAAGGCCAAGAAAAACGAAAAGCTAAGGAGAGCTGAAGCATTCTGGAACCATGTCTTTCCATAGAAAGGATGCAGTAGAAGCACTTCAGGAGGGACAGACCAACACACAAAAGCAGCCCATGCAAAACCAAACGTGGCTTCAGTCAGGCAGGTGAATGAGAAAATGCAGCCAGAGGAAGGCAGCACAGCCTTACTGCCAAAACGGCAGCTGCATGTCCCAGGTGCCTCTCTTCTGGCACAGTTCAGCTTGAAACTTCAACAAAAGCAGAATTTGGAGGTTTCTGATACTAAAACTGTGCTTTAAGAAATAAAGCGGCCGGGCTTGGTGGTCAGCCTGTAATCCCAGCACTTTGGGAGGCCGAGACGAGTGGATTGCCTGAGCCCACGGGTTCAAGACCAACCCGGGCAACCTGGCAAGACCTCGTCTCTATAATAAATCAAAGATTAGCTGGGCGCGGTAGTGCGCGCCTGTAGTTCCGGCTACTTGGAAGGCGGAGGCAGAAGGATCATCAGATCCCAGCAGGTTGACGCTGGGGTGGCCACGAGCATGCCACTGCACTCTAGGCTGGGCAATGGAGCGAGACTCCAATGCAAAAAAAAAAAAAAGAAAAGAAAGCAAGCAAGCAAGAAAAAATGATGAGGCATACCTATTATAGGCAACTAGGAGCAACAAATGGACATGAAACAAAATCCTGGGTTAAAACTTACCATTATTACTGTGCAGTAGGGGATAAAGCCAAATACACTGAAACCTGTCATGAGAAATTTACAGACTGTACTGTATAAATCATAGTGGATGCGATTAGAGCAATAAAGAAGATGAAGAATAAGAAAGAAAAAGCTGGAGGAAACCATCTACCAAAACCAAAGATTCCAGAAGACAGACGAGCTTCAGGATCACGAGTGATGAACAGGGCCCTTAGTCAAGTAGAAATTGTTGCCAGAAGAGTTAGTCACTTAACTGCTTAGAAGATAATGTTACTATATATCTCATAGGCTAATAGGTATTTTTTAAACGCTCTTTGAAATTCACTGACTTTAATATCTTGTCATTTTTGGTGAGAATTTAATACACTATGGTAACAATCTAATTTGCTGTATTTTGTTTCACAAACATTTACCTTGAAACACTGAAGCATTTGTAAAGATAACATTACTAGAAATTACTCATTTCAGTACAGGATACAGATTTTTTTTTTTTTAGAAAACGTTGACTTCGGATGACTACCGGTAATTGATAAGCTTCAACACATTATAAATATGAGTTGTAAATATTCCAACACTTTTAAGATGATATATACTAAGCTTTTTACTACCACTTGCCTTTTTGGATCCTTTCATATCTAGAAATTGATAATTACCTAATATAACACTAATGAAAAGTCTTCACAATCCTTAAAATAACTTAGAATTTAATAAAAGTAATATTTTTAATGATCAATTAAATGTGAAATTTTTTTGCTTCCTGGATAAACAGATGTCTGCAATCAACCATCCCTAAAGAAGAATACTAATATGATTTTGAGTGACTCGATTCATGGATACAATTATACTTTTAAATGTTTTTCATTGTGAATTACAGTCTTTCAATAGATGGGCATTGAGTTCAAGAGTCATATTATTTGCTAACAAATTATCATTTGGGCCAAGAAGTATCTAAAAATTTTTAACCAAACTTCCCACACACCTCATGTCTCCAGTTTATTGAGCATTATTTATTATCTGATGTTAAAATTCCACATTAATCACTCTGTGCATATTTTATCTTTGGATTTTGAAACCCTGTGGTATTGTGATATATATCCTAAGGTGTGACATAATTTTTATTTGCTCACTTTGTATTTATTCATTCAATAAATAAGCTATGACTGTTTTAAAAAAGAGGGGGAAAAGATTCAGCCCAGCTCCAGCCCAATTACCAATTATAAGTTAATAAAGACTACATGAAAAGATTTGGCTGTTAATATTCTCGGACCAAATTGTTGATGCATATTTGGATTACCTATCCCTCGGGTTGCTTCCAATATTATGGGCAATCACAAAATAACCATCTCCAGTTCCTCCTCTCACCAGCTGAAAGGGAGCACATATGTGCCCTCCATGGTGGGCAAAACTCAAGGCATCAATGACTGGGAAAGTCTTCCACCTTGGGAGTCATTATACACATTGTGATCCTGCAATGGGTCAGAATCTACAAAATACAGTTCCCCTGCATGGATGTCAGAAAAGTTAGCCAGATATTCATGAGGATCGAAGCCAACCCACACAGTATATCTATAGTCTATGGTGCGTATGGAATAGCCCATGATCTTTATGTCTTTTAGACTCGGCTTGTCAGAATTCCACTGAGGGGAGTCTGCAGGCCGTGGGTACTGGCTATAGGCGATCAACTCACGAGGATTATCAAGGAAGTATGGATCCTCTTCTGAGTCAGGGAGTCGAAAATGCTTCAGAAGGTTCTGGCCTTCTCTGCACAGCTCAACATGAAATGAAGCAACGGGGCAGCGAGGCGGGACTTGCAGTCCTGCAAGTCCAGCCAATGTGGGGAAAAGAGAGACAAGTTCCACGAGGTCCTCGGATTGCCTGCCTAGAAACAGGAAGTGACACAGCAGAATCGGTTACATTACAGAAGCCTGCCAGGGCCAGGCAGGATGAGTAAAGGAACCTGTCTGGGCTCCATATGTTTTCCCTTCTTCATCTCCAACATTCATTTTTAGCAAAAGAAGTTTAGGACAACATCCCCTCAGCACCTCACCCTCCATGAACTACTCATCCAATTAAGTAGCAGGATGAAAAATTAAGGTGCTCCCACCCATTGGCACTTTTAAGAACAACTTGAATTTTGGAACCACCAATGTACTAACAGATTCAGGTGAAGATGATTCATTAAGGCTAAAACCACTGGGTAACAGTCTGTTGAGGAACAGAATATTCTTTCTGAGTCTCACAGGATCACCATCTTCTGGGTGTCTGCATCTGATCCATCTTTTCATTATGTTTAAGTACACATAACACTTACCATCTTAACCATTTTTTAGTGCATAGTTCAGTGGCATTAAGTACATTCATATTGTTGGGCTATCACCATTATCCATCTAGAACTTTTTTCAATTTACAAACTGAAACTCTGTCCCTATTAAACAACTCCCCTTCTCTCCACTTTCCCACATATTGGCAACCACCATTCTACTTTCTATCTCTATGAATTGAGCTACTCTAGATACCTCATATGAGTGAAATCATATGGTTTTCGTCCTTGTGTGATTAGCTTATTTTACTTCACATAATGTCCTCAAGGTTCACCCACGTCGCAGCATATGTCAAAATTTCCTTCCTTTTTTAAGGCTGATATATTCCATTGAATATATATACCACATTTTGCTTATCCATTCATCTGTCAATGGACATGTGGGTGGCTTCCACCTTCTGGCTATTGTGAATAGTGCTATTATGAACATTCATGTACAAGGTTTTGTTTGAATAACTGTTTTCAGTTCTGTGGAATATATAGCTAGGAGTGAAACTGCTGGGTCATATAGTAATTATATGTTTATCTTTTTGAAGAACCACCAAAACCATTTTCCACAGTAGTTGCACATTCCTACCAGCAATGCACAAGGTTCTAATTTATCTACATCCTCACCAACACTTGTTTTGATTTTTTGATTAGTCGTCACCCTAATGGGTATGAAGTGGTATCTCATTATGGTTTTTTATTGATTTTCACATATATTCCTGTTAAAATTGATCTTGGCTTTGTACTATCATTCTGGTCTTTCTGGATCTTTAAGAGATTGCTTTATATATAATACCCAATTTCTATTGTAATACTGTAAGAAAAGGATTGGCAGTAGCGGGAAACTGCCAGGAGGGGGCGAGGAAGCAGGATTAGTAGTGGGAATCTGCCTGGGGAAGAAGGGGGCACTCCTCATCAACAAGGGAACCTGCATAATGAACATTTGTATACCTAACCCTGAATTGTACCCCACATCTTTAAAATTTAAAAAATTAAGTTAATAATAATAATAATACCCAATTTCATTTTCTAGATTTGTAAAATAAAACGAAAAAAGAGTAAAGAAAGTTTTTTTAAAAGGTACTTTTACAATGGAAAAGATCTAGCTGACGCCACCCCTTATAACCAAATGATCAAACTTAGTATCACTGATAATGGCCATGATGTACCCCCAATGTGATACAATGGGAAGCCACAACATCCCATGCAGTACACTTGTCTAAAATGAACAGTCACAAGGAAATAATCAGACAAAACCAGAGTGTGAGACACTGCACAGGACAACTGGCCTGGCCACTTGTAAGATGAGGTCAGGGACATAATGGGGTCTGGATCATGTTAGGCCTTGTCAGTCATTGTGAGGACTTTTACTCAGAGAAGGGCACGTAGCAAACTCCAGAGAAGGGCTGTGTATGACCCAGCTTGGGTTTTAACAGGATCACTTCAGCTGCTCTGAGGAGGAAAAACTCCAGGGGATCCAGGGAACAAGCAAGGAGATCATTTAGCAAGCTGCTACAGTCATTCAGCACGAGACGATGACAGTCTTCTCCAAGGTGTTGGCAGCAGAAGCAGGGGGAAGTGGTAGGGACAGATTCTGAATGGAGTATGACAGGCTTACTGGTGGACTGCAAATCACATATGGAGTATGAAAGAAAGATGAGTGTGGAGAAGATCCCACAATTTTTTGGCATGAGTGACTAGGCCCACTTCCTGAGGACGAGAAGAGTATTGACAGAAGGGCTGAAGGTAAAAGACTAGCTTCAGGCATATTAGACTGACTAAGTGGCTATTGGAAATACAAGCTGGAAGTTCAGGGAAAAGACACAGGTTAGAGATAAAATTTGGAGTGGTTTCTCTCACCCATGCCAGCTCTGGCATGTCTCCCTTTCTTTCTTCTCTTCTTTCTCTAATAAACTTTGTTTTAAATAAAAAGAGAGAGGAAATTTGGAAATAAACTGGATGATTGTGCAGCTACATGAATTTACAACTGGTTGAACACCTCAAAAAAAGGTTCAGAAAGATTCTCAACCTGTCAGAAGATTTCTCCCAGCAAATAAAGGACAAAAATCATGCCTTGAAACTGTTTACCCTTCCTATCAATGACATGAAAGACGAAAGAGCATGGAGTGCACAAAAATCAAATGTGCAGAAAATAAAATTAGACAGTATACAGCAAACTCAGGAAGATCCAAAAGGGCCAGAATGATGATCCGAAATCAAGAAAAATTTAGATAAGAATCAACATAAAGTACAGGATTTAGCTGTTAAAGATGGACTAAATGTGTAAGTCCAGAAAGGATCAACATGGTTTAGCAGAGTTCACAGAAGTACTCCAGAAAGAGCAAACGCCATCTGAAGTACATGATTTGTCTGTAAAATACACTAGGCAGATTGTCAGGATACAAGACACAAGAACCCACAGAGGTTGCCCCATGCTGGCAGAAGGGATATCTAGTCCAAGGGATATTTTGGAAGTGCTTTCTCAAGCTGGAACTTTTTGGAAGACAGGGACCAGGATAACCATGTGTCTATACCTACCTCGTGAGGAATGGTTGAAAGACTAAGGATTTTAGCCTAGAGAAGGGAAGGTATTAATGGAGGGATGGAGTGAGGAGATCACTGCTGTTTTCAAAGCTTTGAAGGACTGGCACATGGAAGTTCAAGTAAACTTGCCCTTCACCACTGGGAAGGACAGAGCAGACTTTATAGAAATAATAGTTCACTAGATCGATGAGCTGCCAAAATGGAAAACGTTCCTCTCCAAAACAGCTGAAGTCTCTGCCAAAAAGGTGCATGCAGGTAAAGGATACTGCTCATTTGTTACGGGAACAGCACCTTCCTCTAAGCTCTGGAGTGGACTGTAAACTCTTCAACAGTCTTCCCCATACTGGGGATGCCCCACCTGCTCCTTTGTCCTTCCTCCCCCAAGGATCCTTGTAGACTGGGACCATGCTTGTCAGCTCTAGCTCTGCTGCTCTTCCCCCACACAACCACAGGAGGTGCCCAGGACGTGTGCTGACCTCATAGTGTTGAGACAGGATTCTAACACAGGACAGGAAGTGGGGGGTCTGCATTAGCCCCCAGTTCATAATTCAACAAGCGGGTTCACATATAAACTAAAGGTGCTCTTACTGTCAGGCAGTATCATTTCAGCATATTTTATACCTGGCTCCATTAACTCTGAGACGGAATCAAAAGGACTGCAGTAAGGGAAAAGCTTCTCGCCTGCCTCTGGAAGCGAAGCCGTCTTCCCAGGAACATAGAACATCAGGGGCACACGGGTGGCAACGTCAAAATTGCTGTATTTGGCCCATTCTCCATGTTCACCTAAAGCCCACCCTGGTTCACAAAAAACACAGAATGACAGAAAAAGATTAATTACATCACAGAGTCTTTATTATAGACACCATTTTATTTCTTGTTGTAAAAACCAGAGGAAGTCAAAACCCATCACCTATAAGAAAGAAATCCCCCTAGAATTTCCACAGAAAGGGTGATTTCACCTGAATGCTGCTTTATTCAACGTCAGACATTTATCCTCAATGAGGAAATCTTTAAAAAGGAAAACATTTCCAAACTTAAATACCTTCTTTGAACAAACACCTAGCAATATATAATGACCCTGGTCTCTATGACACAAGCATTCTCCACACAGGCATGCCTTCCCTGCTAAGACAGGCTCATTCTTGACTGGGCGGGGACCCTGAAAACTATAGTGCCACCATTGCCCTGTTCTGTGCCTATCTCTCGACTCGTGTCCCACAAGCTCACGTGTTCAGTTTTGTGTATATGCCCCCAAACATTGAGCTATGAAACTGTGGCACGATCCTTCAAATGTAAAGGCTTACCAAATGAGCTCGATTTTCAAGGTTTACCAAAGAGTAAAACAAAACTTGTGATTCTAGATCTTTAACACTGATTTAAAACAACACTAACATCAGTCTAAAACATCCCTTGCAAAAGATAGTTTGAATACTCAAAGTTGGAAATTCCCAGTCTTTTTAAGTTTTAGCACCCTTTTTGATACAAAATACGTTCTTGACAGAAAGTGTCCTTTTAGTATTTAGTGTTACAAAAACCACCGGAGATACCAAAATCTGCCATGAGTAAACTGGCGATTGTGTTGAAATATACCTGTATTATTAATATTTTAAATGCATCTTGATTTTATTAATCACAGCCGCCTGCTGACATTTGAAAGTGGATCATGTAGAGTATAGTGCAAAACCATGCCGGCTTAGTCTACAGATGACACGGGGGCTACCAATGGAACCCTAGCCTTCTAGGGATTAACAGAGCTGGAGCCTGTTCCAAATTGACAGTACTTCCCTAAGACGACATCATTGGAAAGAAACCCTCTACCCACTGACAATGAAAGCAGACTTCAAGCCCATCAGAGACCCTCAGCATTTCTGGCAAACCATTTCTCCCTCTGGCTGTCTGGGAGAGTTAGGGAGGGACTTCCTGAGAGTTCACCGGGGCTCGGGGGGAGAGGTGGCTTCCCATGGTCCACCAGCCCCATGGACTGAGGCACAGCCCCACTCCTCCTCCTCTCCACTCTCTCCAGGAGATGAGAAAGCCTTGCCCCATGAGGGCTGGTGAACGGGTGGGTTACTGACAGGCTCCTAGGGCACCAGGATGGAGGAAGTGTTGTCCTGGTGTGGTGGAAATCTAAAAGGTCGAGGGTCAGGAAGCCTGCAGGACAGGAAAGTGAAAGACCCTGGCAGTGGAACCTCAGGAATCAATCCCAGAAATCTGACTGGGGTGCACGGGGAGGCTTTGAAGCTACATCTGCCAGGCTCTCTGTGGCATTGCTAAGAAGGGGTACCCAACCTGCGGCCTCTGCCAGCTATGGTGGGCTGCCGTGCGTCAGGAAGAAGTAGTTCCTGGGCCCAGCATAGGGCCCAGTGCATGGCAAATGTTCAATAAATAGCTGTGCACTCCCTGACTTTAAGATTCTAGCATTCATCAGTCCTGGGTCGGCCTCAGTCTGTGCTGCTGTAGCCAGGAGCAAACATGTGGAAGAGTCTTGCTAAGGAGAACACATGGCTATGCAAACCCCAAAAATCCATCTTAAGATCAGGAGGAACAAGAGGCAGATGGCCTTGACAGGCAGCTCACAAGGCTTTTGGCTCCTACCCCAGAGGCCACAGATTAGGTCAGGGCAACACAGGGAGAATCAGGAAATGATGAGCTCCAGGAGAGGCTGTCAGAACCACCTGAGACATTTGTTAAATCACATGTTCCCATGCCCAGACCTGTGGGCTCCTGAGATGAGCATGTTTTACCAGCTCTCCAGTAGTTCTGATGTTGGATGCCCCAGGAGGGCACTTTGAGATGGGATTTGTAATCAACTGCAGCTGCCTCAAAGCAAAAACTGTGTCTGAGCAGAAGAGGAAACCAGACACTGAGAAGAGAGGTGAGAGTAGACGGTAGATCATTAGGAATATGTGGAAAATTATGGCACCTCCATATATAATAAAATACAACAGAGCTTTACAAGGGGAGAGGCAGGCCTGCGAGAAATGGCATGACAGAGGACTGTCTATGACATTGCTAAGTGAAAAAAAAACAAGAATATATCAGTACACATAGCATAATTAGTCACATCATGTGATGTGCTACATGTTACAAATATATACATGCATAAGAGATATCCCCGTGTGCATGTGTAAACAACTTGATGGCTGTTAGATGGAGTCCCCAACTGTGTGCACTTGTTGGCCCTGGACAGGTAGAGGAATGGGCAGGACACTGGCCCTGCATTGTATACTCTGTATCTTTTTTTTTTTTTTTAACGATGAGCACACATTATGATTTACCATTATCCCTATTTCATATTTAATGATATGAAAGACTTCTTTTCCTTTTTTCTATGTATGATGATGGTATTATGGTTAGACTTCGAAAGAGACAATATTTTTGAGAGCAGTGACCAGAAATCACAACCACACGATTTGCTTCAAAACAATTAGAGGGCAGGGGAGTGGGTAAGGGTAAGATAAGTGAGACTGCGTGAGGTAAGATGAGTGGAAAATTGGGAGAGCTGCTGTTGTATTCTCTACTCTTGGGCACGTGGAAGAATTTCAAAGAATGCTTTCAAAAAATAGTTACATTTTTTAAAAAACTAGGAAACAGCCTTAGAAGAGATAAAGAGTTGAGAAGCCCAGGCTCTTGGCAGAGAGGACAGGGGGATGGAGGTGGGTGGGACAGAGCCAGGTCTGAAGGACTTGCAGAGCTCTTTCAGGTTGTTCTGGATCCTGCCCTCCAAAGCTAAAGTCCTCCAACTCTCTAGGTTAGAGATGGGACATAAAAGAGCTCCCACACACAAAGGGGGGCTCCTACTATGTTCACCAAGGAAAAAAAGTAGCTACATGCCTCTCCCCCTGTCTACCCACCCCCATCCCCCAAGCATCTAAGATAGAGGGCTCAGGACTAACAAGTTGCTCATAAAAGCACCAAAGACCCCAGAGTCGGGTTTCACTGATTCACAAAAGAGAACATGCCTATGTTTATGGCAATGGCAACTTTGAAAAGCACATTTCACAGGGAAGTTCAGATGTTTTAACTCATCAGGGCATTGTAAAATGCTTACCATGATCCGAAATAAATGCAATGATCGTGTTGTTGGCCAACTGAAGATCATCCAAAGCATTCAAAAGGTGGCCAACCTGTGTATCTAAATATGAAACAGAGGCAAAGTAGCTCTGGCGGATTTTCCGCTGCAAATTTAAAAAGAGAGAGCGAGAGACAGTGAGTGACTGTACTTTAAATTGCTGTGGCACACACAGGAGATAATGTTCGCCTGAGCATCTCTTTCAACCCCAATCCCTTAAATGACACTCCTGATGATTTTCTCAGCCAAAACAGAACACTCCTTTTCCTAACATTTGCATCCCCTCATGTGCAGAGTCACAGTGAAATTTGCAAGTCTACAAGTAAGATTCCTGTCTAATCGAATCAACTTTCACTTTAGGCCACAAATCTCCGCAGATGGACGTGTCACTTACTGTCCCTTTCTGTTTCCCTCACATATTCTGATGGGTCTCAGGAGATGAACATGTACACAAAAATTGACCCCATGGTCCCTCCAAACATAGGCCCACACATCCTCTGATGAGCATCACGCTGGAAATTCAATTCAACTGTGTTAATTTCCCGTGGCTGCTGTAACAAAGTTCAACAAACTGTGTGGCTTAAAACAACAGAAATGTATTGTCTCCCAGCTCTGGAGGCCAGAAGTCTGAAATGAAGGTGCTGGGTGGACCATTCTCTCTCTGAAGGCTCTTGGGGAGGACCTTGCATCTTCCTAGCTTCTGGCAGTGGCTGCAATTCTTGGCAATCCTTAGCTTACAGCTGAATCACTCCATTTTATTTTTCTTTTTTTTTTTAAAGCAGGATTTATGAGGAGGACAGAAAAGCTCCCACAGTGGGAAGGGACCTGAAGGGATTGCCAAGAATCACTCCATTTTCATGTGTGTTCTCCCCGTGTGTCTCTCTCCTCTTCTTATCAGAACATCAATCATATTGAATTAGGGGCCCACCTTACTCCAAGAGGACCTCATCTAACTAATGACATTGGCAATGATTCTATTTTCAAAAAATGTTACATTCGGAGGTCCTGGGTATTACGACTTCAGCACCTCTTTTGGGGAGACACAATATAATCCATAATAACAGCCATAAGTGAGGCTTTCCTCTAATCACCTTCTAACCCAGCAAAGCAACTGCTTATCTTCATGGATCATGGCTGTCATGTGAGCTCATTTCTAACAAACTCTCAGCAGCAGAAGAGCAAGGGAGGGACACGAGGGTAGCACCCTTTTTGTAGTCCCTGAGCCCAAGAGGGACTTCAGGAACACTCAGGCCATGCCCTGAAGTAAAGATGCCACAGGCCCAACCTGGGCTCACTCACCCCAAGCCTCATTCACAGATGTTAAGGAAAAAGATGAATCCCCCACCCCTACTGTGGGGTGAGAAGCAAGGGAGCCTCTGACTTATCAGACCGGCCCCTGCCTTATCAACTGAACCCACCAGCTTCTTCTTGTCACTGCCAGGGTGAGGACGATCATGAGATTCATCCGTTCTCCCCTTGTGGTGAAGAGAAGAGATACATATCTAACTTTCTAGAAGAATTATGCTGAATCCTGGCCTACTCATACTTTCTGGCAGATAGAGTCTTCAGTCTGTAACCTAGGGAACTTTGGTCTGGATGGCTGTATCCTGACAAGGGTACTGCTTCCTTTCTATGCCAGCCCCTGGATGTAAGGCAATAAGCAGACATGGTCCTCACCCTTAATATGCCACACATCCAGTGAGGACAAAATAATGGAGACAAGAAAACGCATACATTATTGGTGGGCACCAGGGATGATACGGGAGAACGAGCCCTCAAGTCCGCCTGGGAAAAGCAGGGAAGGCTTCACAGAGAAGTTAACATTTGAGAAGAGGCACTTGCAATCAGACAAATGGAGGTCAGATGCTCTAAGCAGGGACTGCAGTGCATGGAACAGTGTGAAGTTATGACAGAGCAGGTTGTGTTTGGGGCCAATGGGTGGACCAATGTGGCCGGAGAATCTAATAGGAGGGGAGGGGGGTGAGAGAACACTGAAAATTTAGGCTGGGGCCAGATAATATGGACCTGGTGGGTCCGTCCAGGGAGTGGCGGCCCAAAGCTGTAGGTCAAGGAAGTCATTGAGGTCTTTCAAGGTCTTGCAGATACAGATGCCAGGGGTTTTAGACAGAATGGCCCTTGACCATTGCTGGGTATAAAAGAGGTGCTTGACACACTTGGTGAATGAACAAAGCAAAGACAGACCCACTGTAATGGTCCAGAAAGAAGTGCAAAAAGAGCCAGACCAACAGTGTGGATTTGCAAGGAATTCAGGGAGATCACATAGGCATGGGGGGAGGGAACATAGCAGAGGAAGGAGGTAAGGAACCCATGGGATGAGGAACTCTAGGTTTCACATTCAGCTGGTGGCATGATTCACTACCATGTAGGGGCAGTGAGCAAAAAGAGGAGGAGGAAGGAGAAAAGGAAGGGCAGGGTGGCGGCTTCGCTATGTGGAAGACTATGGCTGAGGTCTCCACAGTCATCATGAGAATGGCTCTCGCAGGCAGGTGGACATACATATCTGGAAATCAGAAGTGAAGCCTTGACTGGAGGGGTACTTCTGGCAGCCAGCAGGGCTCAAATGAGCCTGGCTAGGGACAAGGAGCAGGAAGGATACAGTGGGGTATCTGGGACTGACCCTGGGGGGATGAGGGGTCTGCCATGTAGCTAGGGGCAGAGAGGACCCAGGAGGGCTGGCAAAGAAGCCCAGGAGGCAGATAGTTCCAGGAGGGGTGGGGCTAGTCAACAATGAGAAAGTGGCATGGAGTTTCAGGAAGGTTGGAATCCATAAGGGTAGATTTTTACTGGTCAACAAAGTCAGTGCTGCCCCAGGTGAGAACTCTTACTGAGCTGGGGAGGCAGAAGCCTGAACAGAAGAGGATGCAGAATGAATGAACACTGAGGCCACAGACACAGGTAAACAGCCCACTTTCCATTCACTCTCCCTTGAAGAGCAGGCGACGGAGTGGGAAGAAGAAACAGGTAGGGGCAAGGAAGGTGGTGTTTTTAAGCTGGGAGGGATGTAGTGGCTGCAGGGACAGTGGGTAGAAAGACCTTGCACGATCTGCTCGCAGCAAGGGGGGACAGTAGTGGCGAGTCAAGTCCCTGCTAATTCTTCTTCAGAGACTATGGAGCAGGCCTTCAGCCCAGCACACACGCATGTGAAATTCCAGGTATCCATGAAGGAAGTGATAGAGCCCAGTCACCAAGTGCCTGCTGGGTGCCATTCGATGCTCTGCACCACCCTATGCATAAGGACTCCAAGGCTCATAAAGATTAGTTAACTTGCTCAGTGTCACATAGCTGGCAAGGGGCACAGTCAGGGTCCACACTCACATCCATCCTGTATGTTCTCCTTCCTTTGGCTGTCCACCAACCTCCACTGCTGAAACAGGAAAGGTGGTCAACTGATGGAAAATGGGGTGGGGGGGCGGGGCCTAGAGGGGAGTGGCAAAGAGGATAACCAAGAGAGTAGAGCAGAGAGCCTGCCCAGGGCAGCCTGGGCTGCAGGCTGGCTATCGGGGGGCTTCCCTGCCTCTTGGCTGTGTGGATTCTCTCTAGCCGTCCTCACAACTCAGCTGGAGAGCAGAGGCTGTGACTGGACTGTGCTGTGATCGGAACACTGCAGGTGGGGCAAGGATAAATAGACAAGTATGTTAAGGAGCTGGCAAGAACAGGGATTGGCCTGCCATGGGGCCTTAGGTCTTCAGGGAAAGAGTGAAGTCAAGAGGCTACCTAGACACGGGAAAGAAAGAAAGTAAGAGTCCACACTGGTGGTCCCTGTGGGCATGTAGGCAACAAGGGTGTGGAGCAAGATGGCTGTTAGGAGATGAGGCTGGGGGTGGGGGGTGGTGAATACCAAGAAGGAGCAAGTAACAGACTCCCAACTGTGGCCCCTGGGGTTGCTGGCTCATGTAGAGCTGAGTTCGAGGGCTGGCACTGAAGAGAGCCCAGAAAAGAGAGACTCAAAAGTGCAGTGACACAGGCGTGGACACAGACACCCAAAACAGGAAGAGGACAGGGAGCAGGATCCTAGTCCAAGGGGAATATGGGCCAGGGACCAGCACATGTGCCTACCAGGGAAACTCACTGGGTCACACTGTCTACTATGTGTGAGGAGGGGACTAAGAGAACTGGAAGGAGACCTCCCCAGGCAGCTGCCACTGTCCTAAACATTTCCACTTGCTCTGTTTCGTTCCCACTAGAAACCTCCTAACTAGGTTTCATCACAGAAAATCTTTACCCATCTTGTTTCTGTTTTACACAGAAGGAAACTGGGAATCAGAGATGTAAGGTGGCTAGACAGAGGTTAGACAGCTAGTATAAATTAGAACATGAATTTGAATCCACACTGCAGGGAACTAAGAAATCCAACTGTGAGGCTCTGGAGTCACACATCCCTGGGGGTGAATCAGCTCCACCTGGAGCTGTGCTGTCAGGCAAGTCAGCACCCTTCTCTGCCTTCAGTTTCCTCCCCTGAACAGAGAGAGCAAGTATCTCAATAGGTCCGCTTGGGGACCAAATAAGATAATATACAGACCATTACAGTAGCCTAAGAGCTGCAATTCAGGCCAGCTCACCATCAGAAGCCCAGAAACATGAAATTAGGAAACAAACTGATGGATTTCTTGCTTTCCAAACTCTCACCACTCACTATCTACAACTGAGGAATTAAATAGATTTGAGGAACAGGCACCCCTTACCACCCAAACTCTTGCTCTACAAAGTCAGAGACCAAAGGAGTTGAGAGAGCAAGAGATATCTGTAGCTGTTGGTTTTGTTTTGTTTTAAACAATACACTACAGCAGTGGTTCTCAAGTGGTGTGTGTTTTTAAAATGTAGGTTGTTGAGCCCCACCTCTAGCTTCCAATTCTGTAAGTCTGGGTGGGCCAGGACTCTGCATTTCTAACAAATCCTCCCAGCAATTCTGTGGAAGGAAGCACATTTTAAACACACTGCCCTCTTCCATTCATTATATTCTGCCTGTCACTGCATTCGTGTGGCATGAGAAGGGCAGGGCTCCATATGGAATATTCTAAAAAAGAACACTGGTCAGCATGTAATCTGCTCTCTCCAGGAACAGAGGGTGGATGATGAGTCAGCCAGAGGATTCTAAGCCTATAGCTGCTCCACCCCAAAATCATATGAAGGAACACTAGACATTGAGCTGTGATGGTGTCCCAGTTCCCCTGTGCCAAGGTCCTGTTCACCAACCCATCCCCTGAGTGTGACAGGTGCCAGTATAGGTTTTCCCACAGAGAGGACCTGCAAGTAACAGCAATCCAAGCATTCTAGACTTCTCAGGAGTTGCCCACACTCTATAATTAATGAATGGTCATCCAAAGAAAACAGCATCTTCATGGGTTAGCAATGGTCACCAAGGCTGCTTTCCCATTCCTATGCCCACACACAGCAAGTCACCAATTCTTTGGATTCTCCCTTCTTTTGAAGCTGAGACACTGGTTGGGAGATTCTTGTTTCACCCACCAATACCTGTGGTCTAAATACCTGCAGAACACCCTCTCCCTAGCTTGTCACATAACACCTCATACAGAGAAGATTCTTACTAAGACATTTTGGATGGAGTAGTACCTACAGAGAAAAGTGGCTTCACCAATGACATCATACCATCAGTGCCCAAGACATCACCAGAGTAGGTCCTTGATACCTGAAAGTCCACAGGAATTGGGCCATAGGGCACACTGATGTTTAAAGCTTGCACGTCCTCCCGCTGTCGGATGTCCATCCAGGGGTTGTAGGCCACAGGGGGTAGGCCATCAGGGACCTGAGGATCAGGAGCCAAGGTGATGTTCTCCAAGGGGTACAACTTCTGAAATTCCTTGGGGAAAAATACACACAAAGCCACAAGGTAGTCACTCTTTTGGCAAAGGCACAAGACTTGCCTCCACCTGGAAGTCAGGCCTTAGGTCACCCTCATGACATACCAACAACAACGAGATCGTGTAACTTCTGCTTCCTACAAACTGAACAGTTACAGCTCTCTTCCTTCATATAAACAAATGCCTTCCTGTTCTATCCCCACTGCACTCCCAACTAAAAAAGGTGTGGTAAGGCACTGTGGGTGCCCAAAATCACCCTCAAGTTCAGTAATTCACTAGAACTCACAAAACTCAGCAGAGTCTCACTCACAACTATAATTTATTACAGTAAAGGGGCACGAAACACCATCAGCAAAGGGATAAAGCATCTGAGGTAAAATCTGGAGGAAACCAGGCACAAGCTTCAAGTCATCTCCCAGGAAAGTCACACAGGATGCATTTACTTCTCCCAGCAACAAGTTGTGTGACAATATGTGGGAAATGCTGCCAACCAGGAAAGCTCATTAAAGTCTCAGCACCCAGCTTTTATTTGGGACTAGTCATGTAAGTATCCTCTGCCTGAAACATACCAAAATTCCAGGCTCCCAGAGGGAAGCCTGGGTTTAACATAAACCATAATGTCTGCCTAAACAGTTTAGACATAGTAAACCACTCATCAGTTCTGGGAACGGTGGGAACAGTCCTGAAATCAAAGTTCCCAGATGCCAGCCAAGGGCCAACCTTGTAAGCAGACCTTTCACAGGATCGTAGTCAGGCCAGCTTTGCTAACTCTTTTCTGCAAAGAGGCAGGAGAGGTAAGTCTCACCAGCTTCTACCAAGGAGACTAACGGCTCCTGCTAGGAAGGCCAGATGCCCGGGGGCAATCAGAACAAGACCTGCAGCATCAGAGACAATACCTTCTGCTCTCTACACTTGTTCCATGTGAGGGGCATTCCTTGCACAGTCAAAAGGATGGGACACTCAAGCCCAGGGAGAAAATGATAGTGAAAAAGATTATAAAAAGGAAAAGACTACATTCTCTACGTGACATGTGAACAAGTACAGGATCGGAGGTTCCAACAAGCAATGCAGTGCCCTGTGTTTATGGGGTAGGACCTAATAGGCATAGGGAGAAAGGTTAGTTGTTGAAGGAGGCTTTATGGTCCTGGAATAGTTTCCCAAGGACCATTCCTTATTATAGGCTTTGGCAGCTAGCACTGTCTCACTTCTCTGTGATGATCTCACCAACCAACCCACATTTGCTCAGTGGGTTTATGGAAAGGAAATAAAACCCTTCAGTGGAGGGAAGTAGAAAGCCAAGCATTTCTTACAAATCCTTGTATCACAAGACTCTTACATGTCCCTGACCTTGACCTCTGAATCCCACCTTCACTCCACTGAGTATACTAGTGTCCATCAGGTGTCCCTAGAGTCTGGGGATGGAAGGATGTGGTCGCCTTCCCTACACAAATCCCTCCCTCAACAAACAACACAGCTGTGGTGGCTGTGCTGGACCAGACCTCAGCCAGCTCTTCACCTTGGGATATCTGAAGGGGATGTGTGGCTTATGATACCCAACAGCCAGGAAGAAAGGACTGGCTGATGTTCTCATCTTTCCCAACAATTGTATGGCTTGCTCAGTGCTCTGTATGTCAGGCAAGGTGCCCTCGGGCACATCTACGACATCCACAGGACAAAGCAGGTTGGCATGAAGTTCTCCATCTGGTCCCCGACATGTCTGCCAAAACAAAATATGTAGCATCAGCTTTTTAAATGCAAGTAATAGAAGCCATGAAGGGTATTCGCAAGGATTTAATGTTCATATAACCAGCCCCTCAGGTGTTAAGTCATTCAGACTGAACAGGGACATCAGAAGTAAAACTAAAACAGAGAAGTGTTTCTTCTTTTCCAAGCAGGGGCCAGAAATCCACTAGCACTTAGTTTTCTGCCGCTAATCCTGTCTCCAGGTCATAACTAACTAAAGATAATCCAAGTAAACTGACAAAAATATATATATCGCCAATGCAACAATCAAAAGATAAATATGCCAATTAAAAATGGGCACAGAACATTTCTCCATTCCTCCAAAGAAGATATACAAATGGTGGATTGCACATGGAAATATGCTTAACATCATTAATTAGGGAAATTCAAATCAAAACCATGAGATACTACTTCACACTCAATAGAATGGTTATAATTTTTAAACATGGCCAGGCATGGTGGCTCACACCTGTAATCCCAGCACTGTGGGAGGCCAAGACAGGCAGACTGCTTGAGCCCAGGAGTTCAAGACCAGCCTGGGCAAGATGGCAAAACCTTGTCTCTACCAAAAAAAAAATTAGCCACGCATGGTGGCATGTGCCTGTAGTCCCAGCTACTCAGAATACTGACATGGAAGGATTGTCTGCGCCCAAGGGGTCAAGGCTGCCATAAGTTGTGATCATCCTGATTATGCCACTGCACTCCACCTTGGGTGGCAGCGTGAGACCCCAACTCAAAAAAAAATTAAAAACAGAAATTAACAAGTGTTGACAAGGATGTGGAAAAATTAGAACCCTCATATATTGCCAATGGGAATGTAAAATGGTGTAGCCACTTTGGAAAATAGTCTGGCAATTCCTCAAATAGTTAAACATGGTTATCATAAGGCCTAGAAATTCCACTTTTAGGTGTATGCCTCCAAAAATAAAAAATATATATGTCCATAAGAACATCTGTACATCAAAATTGATTGCAGCATTATTCATAATAACCAAAAAGGAGAACTAACCCAAATATCCATCAAGTGATGGATAAATAAAATGTGGTACAATGCTGTAATATGGAGCCATAAAAAGGGGTGAAGTACAGATACATGCTACTATATGGCTGAACCTCAAAAACGTTATGCTAAATGAAAAAAGGCAGATAAAAATGGCTACAGATTCCATTCTAATCTAAATAGAAGTCTATGTATATGAAATGTCCAGGAAAGGCAAATCCACAGTTTGAAAATAAATTAGTTGTTGCCACAGGCTGGGGGATGAGAGGAAATGGGGAATGACTGGTAATGGTACAGGGCTTCCTTTGGAGATGATGAAAATGATCTAAAATTGATTTCAGTGATGGCTGCGCAACTCAGTGAATATACTAAAACTACTGGATTGTACATTACAAAAGAGAAAGTTTTATGATATGTGAATTGTATTTCAATTTCAAAAAACAGAAAAGAAAATCTGTTTTAAATTTCAAAGACAGAGGCTTGTAAGTGGCAGGATCCCAGTCAACTATATAAGGTGGACAGCCCATGGAATTTCCAGATCCTCAGCGATGCCATGCATAGAATGAAACTCCCTGCTTCATTTCCCAAAGTAGCCATGACGGCCATAGGGCCAAAGTTAGTTTTGACCATGACTTGTACATCACAAAGACCCAGGAGCTGTAGGCTACTGCTTCATCTCCAGAAGTGGTGTCCTTTCACAGCCAAGCCTTGCCCACCCCACCCCGGGCAGGACAGTCCAGCACCTACCTCAGGCCACTTGCTCTAACATGACCTGTTATAGAGAACTCAAGGAGGATCTGGTACTATCAGACCCACCACCTTGAGAAGAAATAAGTGGGAGGGCAATGGGGGCAGGGATCTAGCATTTATGAGGACACTAAAAACGTAGCAAGATGGCTTCGGGGACTTGAGGAATTGAGATGGGCTATTCCAATCTCATTCTGTTCCTACTCAAGCCAAACACCAAAGGCCAGAGCCAACAGTCTTCACTGTATCCTGAAACAGAAAGTTGTTGAGAATTTAGAACAATACCTTCTACCTCGCCCCCAAATCCTCATCCTTCCCACAGGATGTCTCCTGAAACTTCAGAGGTACATGTCATTTCTCAGTTCTCTACAGGTTTTCTGAGTTTCTTAAATGTGGATTTTAATTTCATTTCTATATCAGGGGTGGCTTCAAACCAAAATTTACTTTTCCTATAATGTTCTTTTCCTATAATGTTCTAAATATTTAAATCCCTGTCAGAGGTCTCAGCAGCTGAACGCATGCATTAGAGCCAAGACAGACAGACAACATGCCTTTCTTCCACTCTAGACTGAGGCTCCTGGAGCTCAGGCCTCTTTTTTCTCTCCCATGTTTCGACATCTCTTACAACTCTCAGTTCAGAGTGAGCACTAAGGAACCATTAAGTGAGTCTGACACATTAGAGCCTAAGGTTCTAGAACAAAGAATACCCGCCAGCTTCTAAAATGAAGCCACGGCTCCTGTTGGGCATAATGATACTTTTCTCTGTCAAGACATTATCACAAATGAACCCCACAACCTCACAGTATAACCAACATATAGAGCATGCAGCATACACAATACTTGATTTGCTAGACAAAGAAAAAGCCTGTCTCCTCAGAACAGCATCCCTTTCATAGCCTTACCTTAGTGTTTTCGTACTTCTCAGTGGAGGGGTGATAAGGTGGGAAAGACCAGCTATATGGAGAATCATCACTGTGGTTGGAAGATATTCCTTGAAGGAAAAAAAAGTTGTTAAATAAAACATGAAGGATTTTTCAATGCCCTACTCCTCCCCCCAAATTAAAACTTTGTAAACAAGTGGGCAAGTGGAACCTCCCCTTTTTGGGCCTCAGCTTCCTCATCTACAAAATCAGGAGCTTACGCTAGATGATGAAAAGTCCTTTCCGAAGCCAAACTTTCCAAGTTTCTATTTGAGTACTGAGCATCTGACTTCCTGGTCCCTAAAATCTGTGCTAAGCTCTGTGGAAGGGACTCACAAGGGTAAGATCAGCTAGCCCGTTACAACAGCACAGCTCCCAGAGTAGAAGTGGCAAGTGGGGGCGCCCTCAGGCATGAAGGTGATGTGAGTCAGGTAAATAATGATGGGCAGGACTTCTAGAGGTCAGTGACCTTTGCGAAGGAGTTAAAGGGAAGAGTTGCCTGCAGAAGCTAGTAAAGAGTAGAAGGGATTGCAGGCAGAACCATGGGGGAGAGACCATCGTCAGCACAGCCACACAGTGGGGTTCCAAAAGGGAGCACCAGAGGAGGCTGGCAAAAAAGAGGGCAGCTGCTGGAGGGCCTATTAACACAGTAAGCATGGTAGAAAGGGCTCACAGGAGGCTGATAGACCTGGGTTCAAATCTTTATTCTGCCACTTAGCATCTGCAACCTCGGGCAAGCTACTTGACTTTCATGATCCTCAACGTCTCCCTCAGGAAATGATGGGGATGATATAACCCAGCTTGCTTGCTGCAGGAGGATTAAGGGAGTGACCAGAACTGTAAATGCCAGGTACCTGGCACTGGATAGTGGCTACTGTCATCTTTGAGCAGACCCAGCATTGACAAACAAAGGTCTTGAGAACAAAGACTCCATTTAAAAATGTGTTCCCATGACAACCGCAAGCAAAGCTTTTGTTCTCTGACTAGGACATGTACTTAGAAACTGATCCCAAAATCTAAGTGTCAGGAGGAAGGAAGCCAGACAACACTCAGCCTTTGTCCGGCCTCCCTTTGTGAAGCACAATCTCCTCCCTCTGCTATATTTTCTCCTCTCTCCAAAACTGTCACTTTCCTCCAGCTGCATTTGGGCAAGGATTGTGGTGATGTGGACACCAAACTACAGAAAATTCTCCTGTTGTTGAGCTTTGGCCTGTGCAGTATGATTTCTGACAGATTCACCTTCAAAACTGGGCCCGAATTTGCACAGGTGAATGCTACCATCAACCTGGACTGGCAGCTGGGTTCCTGATGAAGGCTGCCAAGCCTGCAGGTGTAACCAGTGAACAAAGTGAAAGCTACTGAGAACGTTCAAGGTGTCACTCCTAACGATGAGCACCACCTCCAAGATGGAGCCCGTTTTCCAGTGTACCACCTCCAAGATGGAGCTTGTTTTCCAGTACACTTTCATGCTCTGAACTGCCTGGATCAGGATGCTCCCCTGGGAGGTAGTCAAGGCAGCTATGCATCCAGCTTCCCAGAATCTTAGGCTCTGAAAGAATGAACAATTTGCCCGAGGTCAACTGCACAACTAAGCAGCAGATCTGGGACCAAGTGCCCAGATTCCTGATACTACTGCCGATCAGAAGTTCACTCTGCTTCCAAAGATGTCCGTGCCAGCTTTACCTGTGACAGTGAAATCCTGAAACAACTTGGACTAAAGCAAGGTGCTTTAACCTACTATGCTGTCATTAAAAATGACTTTTTATGAAATGTAATGTGAAAAAATGTTTTAACAAACCAGGATATAAAATTACATATACAGGATAACCTCAAGTTAGAGAAATAATATTCTCAGAACAAAAGGAACATCAAAATGCAGCTCTTCTCAGGGTGGTGAAATTGTACGTGATTTATCTTCATTAGTTTGTACTTTCCGTTTCCTCTACTTTTTGTGTCAAAAAAATCACGCATTACTTCTACAAATTAAAAAGAAAATATTAAAGTTTGTCTGTGTCTCAACATCCCCATTTCGGCATTCAAGAGAGCCAATTTATCAGGCAGCGTTAAAGGTCAGGGCTGACAGTGCCTAGCACCCTATAGGCCCTAGGTACAAGCTTACACTCATCCTTCTGCCCCAGTTCACAAAGTGGGCAGTAACCCCTACTTAACCACAGCCCCCTCACTGGACAACAAGTCAGCAGTAACAGCGCTGGCCATGTGGGAGGCCTCAGGTGCCCTCGCCCCAGTCCTAGCTTTACCAATAGGGACCCCACAAGGAGGAGGGTCAGGTCAGAGCTGGACTCACACTCAACACTGCCACCTCCCTAGTTAGTGCCCTCCCTGAAACCTGAGAAGCCAAAGGACCCAATAGCATCACCAGTGGTTTCTGAAAGGAAGCAAAGCTCTATCTAGTCTTTTCCACTTTTGGTGAGAACATGTAGCTAAGTTGAGATGTAAATGGTTTAGAAAGGCTGCAGTGAATATAGAAGTGACTGCCCACCCAGAAGCGGCTTCCACAAAGATAGACCCAGCACTGGCAAGGGATCCCCATGTTTGGGCACCAAACAAAAAAAACCCAGACTCGACATAGAGCAGTACCAGGGTGAAAGACTTTTCCCACCGACATAGTCACATAACCATTCTCCTTGAAGTACTGTGGGATGGTGGAGAAGTTTCCAGCGTGCACTCTCCAGTAGGAATTGAAGTCATACAGGCGGGTGGTGTCAGGCCTCCTCCCGGTGAGGAAGGACACACGGCTGGGGGCGCACACTGCTTGCTGTGAGGAAGCAGAAGAGAAGTGAACGCCCTCACAGCAGACTGTGTCTGTCATCTCTGAGGTAACCAAGCAACCTTCCTCCTGAGGTCCTCAGCAAACAGTTTGGTGGCTGAGTCATGCAGAGCTCAAAGCCAACCACTGGGATTTGGACCTCACCCAGCTGCCAGACATAAGGTTTCCTAGTGACAGAAAGAGGAGGACTCATCCCCTCAAACCAGCAAATGCGCATTTGCTCCCACATGACAGCATCCCCAGGCACAGAGAATGAGTGACATTCCGAGGGGCGGTCCCAGAAGAAGGTTCGAGAAGTAGAGACGCCATGTTAGCTAGCTGGCCCTCACCGGAAGCCCAGTCAGCAGATCTGTGGGTGGCATTCTTCAGCACCCCCCCTCTTCTGACAGAAAGCTGGCCAGGGCCATCCTGAGTATATCAGGGCCATGCCACTCTCACCACCCAAGAAGAGGGGCACCCTTGAAGGCACAAGGTTGCCTTGTGAGTAACAACTGGATTTTCTCAACGACCATTTTCCAGACTGTGTCACTCTAACAAAAAGACGCTTGCCACAAACTGCGCCATCGAACAGCAGCTGAAGCTCCGCCCTCCCTCAACCCTCAGTGCATGAAGAGGCATACACCCACACACAGAAGACCCCAAACATACCTGGGCAAAGGCATTCTGAAAGAGGAGGCTATGGGATGCCAGTTGGTCAATATTTGGGGATCTCACTAGCTTATCTCCATAGCAGCCCAGGGAGGGGCGCAGGTCATCCACAACGATGAGAAGAACATTCAGAGCATCTACACAGGAAGGGGCTTCAGTGAGGTCACCTGCACTGACACCATGGTAGGTGCTAGGGTTCAGAGAGGCCCAAGGCTAGATCCTGCACCTCTGCAGCCCAGACAGAAAGGAGCCATTTAGGGCTGTGTCTCAGAAAGGGTGGGAGTGGGAGGTGCAAAGAGGAAGCCTGAATCCTGGATGGCAGGGTTAGGCTTTGGCCATGGCTTCAAGCCTGGATGCGATGGGGGGGGGGGGGAGGTAGGGAGAGAGACGAGAGAGGAGGATGGAGAAAAAGAAAGAAGAATTTAGGGAGAGAAGGATGGACAGAGGAAAGGACAAGTGCAAACAAGAATAGACGGTTGGATGAAGGAAGGGGGCAAAGATGAATAGATGAAGGAAAGAAAGGATGAAAGGATGGAGGGCGGGAGAGAAAGATGAAAGGATGGAAGGAAAAGGGAAGGGTGGACCAACAGAGGGATGGAAGAAGGGGGGGATGGAAAGATGGAGGGAGATGACTGGATGGACGGACAGATGGAGGGAAAGATGGAAGGATGGATAGAAAAGGGAAGGATAGAGGCAAGGACCAAGGGAAGCACGGATGGATAACGTGAGGGAAGATGGAAAGACAGAGGGATGAACAGATGGCAGGAGGGAAGAAATGAAAGATGGAGGGAAGGATGAATAAATGGAGGGTAGGAAGGCGTGAAAAATGGAGGGAGGTAAGGGAAGATGAAAGAATAGTAGAAGAAAGGAAGCTTGGAAGGAAAGAACAGATGTAAGCAGGGAAGGAGGGAAGAATGAAAGAATGGAGCGGAGAGGGACCCCTGCAATCCGGGCGGGGGCGGCACCTGTGGCGGAGATAGAAGGCGCCGCGGATTCCAGTGCTGCGCAGACGGGGCCTAGTACCACGCCGAGCCACAGCAGGCCCCGGGCGGGCTGGGGAGACGGCATTTCTGCTTCGACGCGGCTGTTCCAGAGCTACGGTGACA